ATTATTGTACTTGTACCTTTTTGTAGTCTCAGCAATATGTACAGTGTACAATAGTTCGAGTAAATTATTATGTGAGTATTGTGAACGCTATATCAGTTTTTAACAGTATATCGATATCTGCAACAAATAATATTTTTGTGTAACTTTAACCCAATGACATACATGCACATATTATATGCATGTACAACATATTAAGTAATTCATCCATTATCGAAATATTTCCGGAAGGTAAGAATCCCCAAATATCAGCCTTATTAAAAAAATTTATTTTATACACACGATACAGGAAACAACATTGATAAAAGGTGCAATCAATCGCAATCTTTTAATATGCTCGCAACATACACTACACTATAATAATCTTTAAGATTGCTGACAATTCGTTCGACGGGAAAAGAAACTACTACGAATGCTTAAAAAAAAAAAAAAAAAAAAAAAAAAAAAGACCTCGGAGCAGTCTATCTTTGTTAAAATAATCCAAGTATTGACTTCTTTCTGTCAGACACATTTTGCAAGACATGGAAGGTAGTACAAGCTTAGATTCTAACAAACAGTGCATAGTGAAGAAATTCTGAGGAATCTAGATGGAAAAAAAAACTGAAAACGCCTTACTTAAGGCAGAAGTTAATGGAACTCTGGCTTCGTATTTCAAGGATCATAAAGATGAGTATATGTGCATAAATTGTTATAATGCAATAGTAGTGAATGGTAGAAGCATCTTTAAGGAGCATGCCGCAGAATGGTGGAGAGGGATGAAAAGACGTAGGAATGATGATAGTTTTCATGTGTGAAAACATTGCGCTGCTAGCTAATATTATTTATGAAAGAGAGGTTAGCCCGTCTGTTTTTACATTTCTCAACTTAGGTCCATCGCTGAAGCTAAGGATGAACGGTTAAGATTTTTTTTGATAAATCGAAGAATGAGAAAAAAAAAAAAGAAAAAAACTAAACCGTTTCACTAGCATATCAATGTTATTTAATGTGCTGGAATCATAATAAATCTATTTGACTTTGGAATCTGGGGATGAACAATTGGCGAGCGAAGAGTTTACGTGGGTGGATGGGGAGTCGCTATACTGACAAATTTGCTTTATGATAGAGAAAACACGCCAGCGATTTACAGCTTCCGAGTCGAGAGAATAAAGGTCAGGTAACTGAAGATACGGAAACCAAGGATCTGTCCTCAAATGATATTCTTACACAATTAGAAAAGGACAAGAATGCACTGGATAAGGTGGATTGATACAATATATAGCAATAGATAAGTTCATGAACTAATTGTCATTGATGACAAATGTATTTATTGCATATTAAATTATGATAAATAGTAATTATAATAGTTGACCATTAGATAGATTTATTGTTTAGTCTTGATGCTCAAGGGTCAAATTATTGCAAGCTACCTTCAAATTGGCAGCATTTCCCTAAAGGTAGTCAAATTTCATAATTATCAACGCACCCTTTTGTGCGGATTGTGCTGCAAAGCAGCAATCGCATTTAGAGGGAATATTGTCCTAGATGGCATTCCAATACATGTAACGGCAATAATTATTTATATTACATCACTCGAAAAGAGAAATCTCATTGGAGTATATTGGTCTTGAGCCACAATAATCTGATTTGGTACTTGACCCACCAATTGAGCCACAGTTACCTGATTTGTAAATCGTACTAACATGTACGATTGTCTGTCTGCTCCTTTGTTGTAGGCTGGGTTGTAGCTACTGTCATAGTCCGTTGTTGCGAACAGGCAGGTTGTTGTAGTCCGTTGTTGAAAGTAGATGATTACTACTTACTGCTGGCAATAATAGACGAGCGAAAACAGAAATGCAGGATTTTTTTTTTTAAAAAAAAAAAAACCAAAACAACAACAGATGCTAATGTCAACCATAACGCCTGCTCTGATTTGAGTAAGAAGAGCATGAAATTAGACATTGGTATTATTCTTCAATGTTTATATTTGAGAATATTTATTCACGTTTAGATACAGTAACTAGTACATAACAATAAACTATTTATCACTTTGCGAATAATCACATTTCTCTTTGACATGATACACACTCCCAACCCATCAATTGCTATTTCTAGACTGCCTGTCAAATGTTTATTAGAATGATACAACACTTTTGTTATGGCACCTGGATATTATTGGAAAAGAATTTTCAGACCACCCCTGTATTTGGAGTTGAACAAGGTATGTGAATAGATTTTATTACTTTCTTTATTTAAATTTTTTATAAATTTGATGTTCTTTTTCTTACAGATAAAAAAAAAAGAGTCAGCGTTATGAACGTAGGTTTTAGGTGTTTTCTGCTTGCAGCGATTTAAATCTTGCGAACTTAAAATTTGCAGTTTTACATTTATGGGTTGTTGAAGGCGACATATCAATTATTAAATAATTCCTAACTCTTATTGTCATTCTTTACGTGCATTGTTTGTTTGTATTTTTATCACAATTAATCATGTTTCATTTTATCATTCTCATCCGTACATACAGCAGGCGTGCTCGTTCGTGTTTAGATCAACGCATTCTCCGTCCAGTTCCCGTTGTCTGCTTATTGATATCTGAAATTTGTGTCTCACATTTCTCAATTCAGTTTCGGCCATCGGAAGGGCGCTGCGAGCTCAATGTTATCAATACGTACGTAACACAAAGAATTATTCAGTCGAGTGATGATATAGACTGTGATTCTCTATTGCTCAAAGAATATTCTTCAAAACGGATTGCATGCAGAATAAGGTCCTTTTCATTTTTTGTTCCCACTTCCATTTTTAGACAAAACAGGACGAAATGAATACGTTAATTTTTCCTTATTCTAATGCAGTAAATAAATCATCGGTTGACAATCTAAACTAATCTCGACTAGTTAATCTTGACGTTTGGAATATTTGAATAACTCACGCGCGATAGTTAAGCTCCTACTCAAAGACAAGTCTCTGGGACAGTTATTTGGTATCCATGTTGACGGCTATAACAGCGCACAATATTGGACCCACTATTGAAACTATCCTTCAGCATCCCAATAACATCTTCCGAATGTGTCTTAGCTATCATCATCAACATACTATTAATTTACTTCCAATACGCAAGTTTGTATGCAAAACATATAAAAAACTCTCTTCTTTTTCATCCTCATCTTCTTCGTCTCCCCATATCGTCTACCTTAGCTTCACCATTATGTAAACGTTAACATGATCTCTCATTATCATAGTGATCTTCGCATTTATACCATCCGGAGTTCGGTTGTGCGTCCTGAAGTGTTTGAGAGAACGATAAAAGTTTGGCAAAACACGTAAACAAAGATAGCTTGTTAGGAAGGACGTACATTCGTCAGTGGAAAAATAGTGAATCGAAGCAAGTAAATATAAATGTAATAAGAAATACATATCAGGATGTAATCACATACTTTTCGTCTTGGATGTTGTTTAATTGCCTTCGCATTTGTAGATATGTTTTTAGTAACAATATCATTAAAATCTTTCCCGAGGGTAAAGCCCAGGATCGTTTATTGATAAGAGCGGAATCAAGAGTTCTTTTGGAGCAGGTACACCTTCATTATCGCTATTATAATCATATGATCATAGTCATGTATTTGGGAGAGATTATCATTGTTTCGGAAGAAATCATCCTCATACCAACTTACTTACATTTAAATAAAAATTAAATACATAATTTGTATCAACCACCGTGCTAGTATTGATGCTCACCGCCGTGCGCAAAATGATGGACAATTTCTCCAGTAGATATTGATTTTAACTGACTTTACCTTGTTCTAATGAATAAAATAAAGAACAAAACAAATTAAAAATCCCAAAAGTGTCCGTAGGTGCATTCGGGCAGGTAATGTAGTAACAAATTGAATCACAAAGAAGATATACCTATTCAGACGTATCCTAAAGGTAACCCGATAGACATATCCAGACGCATCCTAGTTACCTTTTGGGTTCTTCATGTTTAAGACGAAACAAAGTTTCAAACTTTAGAGTTGTTTAAAGCTTTTTTCGCTAACGTTCGAGCTGTTTGACAATCATGGGGTTCTAGTTTCGGATCTCTCATAATTGCTCCTAAATATGTCCTGTAGGTACAATGTTCTGTATCTTTATTTCCGAAATCGATGGTACAGAACATACTCTAACTAAAGAAACTTACCAAGTCCCATGAATCACTTATTTTTAAAGTAGCGAAGCCGTGGAATTTGACCATGTATACTGATTCGAAGGGATAGACAACTTTTGCAAAGCTGGGATTTTACGATAATGCTCATTAACCAGTCATGGGACACTCACATGAGAGATGTATATGAGCGATTGGCTTGTGAAATCGCATGTTTGACAGATGATATTTAATTGCGTGGCTTACCGAACTTGTTAACCAGTGAAAATATTTTACTGCGTATGTTCGTTCGAAACAATTATGATAACCACGATATCACAGCAAATGATAATATTAAATAGTACCAATATGTGTCATTTAACACGCGAACACGCGTCTATCGGACTTGTTAACCAGTGAAAAATATTTTACTTGATTATCACGATTGTCTCCGTAAATAAGAACAATAAATAGTATCAGTGATATGATGTAATGATGTGTTACACTAAGAAATATATTGATACCTTCTATTGGTTGACAGTGATCGTTGTGGCTGACTCTCACACCCCCTACCGCGTAAATCGCAACAACATTTATACTTCGCATGACAACAATTGACAATATCAAGTAGTACATCTTCTCATCTAACACGCAAACCCGCGTCTACATTTATACTTATAAGGGTCGCGCACGACAACAATTGACAATATCAAGTAGTACATCTTCTCATCTAAAACGCGGACCCGCCTCTACATTTATACTTATAAGGTCGCACACGACAACAATTGATGATGTCAAGTGGCATCTTCTGTCATCTAACGCGCGAACACGCGTCTACTTACACATATATATATATATATACCCTGTCTTCCCTCCATAGTAGTTGCTGTTTACTTTCACGCTAATAATGCCATCGTCACAATACAAGCTATCATTTATTGCAGGGAAGAAATACTTTACGTCAACTCCTACGAAGGATTGGTCATATTCTGGATATCTCGAGGCCATAGAGCCTTATTTCAGTAACCGCGCTAAAATAAGCACATTGAAATTGACGTGGAAGAAGCGTTTTAATGACCATCTGAGAGATCTCGAAAAAGATGAAATTGATGAGAGACGTGAAGTTGCAT